AAAAAAAAGAGCTAACTACAGCAATGGGGGAAAAAATAGGGGAAAAAAAAGTAATCACAAACTTCAATTAAAGTTATCTACAAACATGTGATTAAGGCACTGCGTTAGTTCCCAAACCGCAATTTGGGGTTACGTCTGTCCCGTCAACAGGCTTAGATAAAAGCCTGCCGACATCGGTAATGTCTCGACTTTTTCAAGAGACAAGACGCCTCTAAACTTATGTAATTGATAATTAAATAGTTTACTGGCACAGTGACAATCAAACTATGGCTTGTTAAATATAGGTTATACAAAAAAATGTATGCAATAGATTATACGTGAACAAGGACGTCTTACATATTACACTCTCAAGACTATGCGCGCAGCACATCAGCACATCAAACCTGCCCGACGTTTGTGTTGCCAACTGCAAAGGAAAGAGGCAGAGAACAAGTATGATATGGTACAGCATTGAAACAAATCTAGCATAATATAACACAGAGACAACATAAATAAGGGAATAAATGTGTGTTCGGGAGGTATTATAACAATCTGTTAAAGACCGGTGTGAGTCTGGATGGGTGATAATTACCCGAGGCAAAGCCGAGGGTAATTATTACCATCGAGACTCCCACCGGTCTTAAACACTGACCGAACACATATTTATTCCCATTCATAAATACTTTTTCGGTCGAAAACCCCCAAATCTTTTCGGTCCAAAAAATATAAACAAGTCAAAAAGTAGACGTTGCCAACCATTTTGTTCAACGGTTTTACTTCATGTTTTACAAAACACCCCTCTGAATATAATATGGAATGCCCCTCCACAACTCGTTACCTTATAAGGACATTGGCGTGTGCGTCGCGCGTACTGGGCGATGTCGCGCAAAACGCAGCTGGGCTGGTATAGTGTAAATTTCGAACCATGAAATACTGATTCACTGCAGGTACTATATTGCGCATGCCTACGTGAAGAATGGGGTCGGTAGAAAAACCGCAAGAAGACTATTTTGCATTATTGGATTATTTTGAAGGAACTTCTATGATTTTTTTTTTGACAAGGCCGGCCTTGTTTTTTTATACCCCCCCCCCCCCTGGTTCCACGCCTGCGCACATTTACCAAAAAAAAACCGGAACAAATCGCAAAAAAGTCCTTAAAAGGCCTACGATCGGAGCACGCAAGTGTATGTATGAACCTGCAAGCAGAGTTTGAGGCCCATGGATATCCGGATCCATGTAAAATCAAAAAAATTCTGTAGCCTGTAGGCCTTATCTTACTGTGACTGTGAAAGCAGAAGGCCTAGGCCTATGCCGGCTCTAGCACAGAGTCTACTCAAATGTGTGGCCATAGAATAGGGTAGCCTATCCACCACTAGTACTAGGCTAGCATGACTATCATGACTATAGGCATAGCTTAGGCCTAACGTAATAGGCCTACATCATTCATGGCGATTAATTAATTTGAATAGACCTAGCATGCCCAGGGCAATGTACTATATAGGCCCTGAGTCATGCTAGCATTTGGCTAGTTCAGTTGTGAACACAAAGAGAGGGTAACAATTTTTAATGGAAATATTTTTCGGCTTGAATGTCAATAGCCTACTCAGCATAGATATAGGCTAGCCATGCTTAAGTTGTACTTGTAAGTTGTACTTTTTGTAGCTGCTACAAAAGTGCTAGCCTATAGGCTGCCCTAGGCCCTATACCTTGCCTACGTCTACGGTCAGACAGTCTAGGGTCTACGTACGTCATGGGGAGTTTACCATGTGGCCTATATAGTCGTGTTCCCTAACGGGGCGCACTCTGAAGCCTACCCGACTTTCCTCGTGTAGAGTTGCCAAACCTCTTATTATTATTAATGCTTGCGATTTAACCTCTGTGAACAATTTCAGTTTCATAAAATTTAATCAGAAATTCAAATAGGTGGTGTCTGAAAAATGGGCACAAATTGGCAGAGTGTTCCCTAACATGGCGCACTTGAATAAATCTCAAAAAATTCCAAATTAACATTTAAGAATTTCTGTAAACTTGATAAATTCTGACATACCCAGCCAGATGTTTGTCACAAGGCATTTTCAAAGGGTTCACTTTTCACTTGAAAATGAAATTGGAAAATCACGCCAAAATAAATTGTTTTTCTTAATTTGTTACGGGTAAATAAACTCGCGATTTGAACAGGAGTGTTTCGAACTTGATGAAATTTTACTTTCTTTGAAATTTCAGTAAAAAGTTTTGCTCTAGATAGGCCCTAGGCGCTACAGGCGAAAAATCAAAGTGCGCTATGATGGGGGCCGGCCGCGCCACGTTAGGGTACATCAAGAATCGGCACAGGTAACGCTTTCAAATGCACGCACGTTGTCACACACAAATTGAAGGTAGATGCGTAGAAAAAGGACCGCGTAGCTAGCTAGGGGGTCTGACGATTGTTTGTAAGCCCAGGCTAACGACGATGTTAGGCCTAGGCTCTTGCCTAGCCTAGTCCGAGTAACTTGGCCGCACAAATCAACTTTTTTAACATTTGGACTGGTTTGGCGATAGTAGCGTCCAAGCGCAAACTTGCGTTGAAATCCCTGCGTGTGACACCTCAAAAAAAAATTTTAAAAGTAAAAATAACCTTGATCATTTTCAGCCCCCAAATAGCCATAAAACGACAAGATATGCAGCCTAAGACATCTAAGATATCTGTAGACTTCCCTGATTAAGTGGGTGGTACACTGGTTGACTTACCATCTGGACGGAAGTGGAATTTGCAGCTACATTCCGACAATATTCCGACACTTGAAACGGCTGTTTTAAGTGCCGCGCGATGGCAGCCACTGTGCGCTTTGCACGCAGCAGCATCATGATTATGCACACGTCACGTGAGCCCCGGGGTCACATGGTCATAACAACAATAGCTGACAATTCAAATACATTTTACGCGAACGCCACGCAGTGAGAACGTGAGAAGAACTTGTCGGAATATAGCTGCAAATTCCACTTTCTGTCCAGCATGTCCAGATAGTAAGTCATTGGCAGTATACCACCCACTTAATCAGGGAAGTCTACAGATATCTTTCATGTCTTAGGCGGCATATCTTGTCGTTTTCTGGCTATTTGGGGGCTGAAAATGTTCAAGGTTATTTTAATTTTTTAAATTTTTTTGGGACGTGTCACACGCAGGGATTTCAACGCGAGTTTGCGCCTGGACGCTACTATCGCCAAACCAGTCCAAATGTTAAAAAAGGCGATTTGTGCGGCCAAGTTACTCGGACTATGCCTAGCCTAGGCTAGCCAGGGTAACGTTATACTTGACTACCCGTGAACGTGGTGGTATACCTACAACCGCCATGCATAATTGAACAGCTTTCGATCGGCCAGCATACATAACATGGCATAGGCCTAGTCGGGAATAGAATTCTATTTGAGTCCTGAAATTTCTTTGGAATCAATGACAGATCCTACGCAATGAGATGTATGCGTGGCGGTGTAGGCCTATACCGCCACGTTCACGGGTCTATACTGCCACTGGACTAGGCCTAGGCTCCCTTAAAATGAATAAAAGAAAACTGTTTCCTAAAATCAAAATGAAACAACCTCCGCACATATTGTACTACAAAGTTTCAGCTGTCAATAAAAACGCAGTGGCTATCGTTACGGCAGCCGTAACGCATTTCCCATTTTCTATCGTTACGGCACTGCAATTGCGCAAGCGCAATGACATGTCAGATCGAACCACGAAGCCGACGCTTCCGGCCGGCCGTAACCCATTTCCCATTTTCTATAGTTACGGCACTGCGCAAGCGAGATGACATGAACGATCGAACCACGCGAAGCTGGCGATGTAGCCGGCCGGCATGATGATTTCTATATTGTCGACGGCAGTCTAGTTTTGCCACTCACTGCTCGAAAAAAAAATCCAAGATCTTCCAACGTTGAAATTCTAGGGAAAAAAATTGCCCAAGGAACCAAAAAGTCATTTTTTATGTAGACTTTTAAACCCACTTCCCAATATTTGTTGACTTTCTCGTGGTTTTTTTTTTTTGGGGGGGGGTGGGAATACCTTGACTTTGTGTCATGGCCCATTGACTTTGTGCACGAGGTCTAAGTGATGGCCGGATATGGTACTCTTTCTACATGTAATTCTAGTTTCATATGTAATGCATATTCTTTTTAACAAATTGACTCGGACTATCCACGAAAGCAAGAGCTCTAAACAATATTGTTAAATGTAGAATATTTATTTGTCAACAACACCGAAAATAACTCCAAAAAATCATTAATCATCCCTCACAGTCCTCGATCCATTAAATTAAATCAAAGTTTGCACATACCCTAGAGAGTTGAGGTCGTTAAAATAAACATAAAGGAAAATAAATGAGGTATTATTCGTCTGTACAGCATCTCGGGCATGAAACGGCATGGCAAGGTAAGTTTAGAAAACAGTCCTAAAATAATTATCATAATGTTGACATCAAAATATTTAACCAAATGATTTACGAGTCACTTGTCCAGGTATCTTGGGACATTGAGATAACACGGCAAGGTATAAGCAAGAAAAAAAAATGAATTGTTTAAATAAACAAATAAAAAACAAATGAACTATAATTGTAATACTTATCACTTGTGCAGAATTTTGCTTGTACATGTACATGAATATCAAAAAAACTATCCTTTGTTAAAATATGAAATAAAATTATATATTAACTAGTCCAGCATCTTAAGACTAATGACATGGCAAGGTCCATGTAGAATACAGTACCAAAAATTTAACTATAATTGTAATACTTATCACTTGTGCAGGATTTTGCTTGTACATGAATATCAAAAAAACTATCCTTTGTTAAAATATGAAATAAAATTATATATTAACTAGTCCAGCATCTTAAGACTAATGACATGGCAAGGTCCTTGTAGAATACAGTACCAAAAATTGCTTTGAAACAGTCATAAATTGAAAAACAACAACTACATGTATACACTTCGTACATGTACTTAAAAAACAGAAACACCTCCCCCAAAATAATTAGTAAATATAAAAATAAATGAAGAGAAAAAAAGGCATTTACTTGTCACTTGGTACTCACTTGGCAAGGTACTCAAACTGTCCGAAAATAAATGCATGTAATCCCCATTGGAATATACCAAAATCTGATAGAATTCCCAACTTCTTGAAATGGGACTGAATATTAATCATTCGTTACTGTTACACCCTCTACAGAACCAGTTTTTTTTTTTTGGTGGATCGTTCAGACCAATACACTTTATGTGGAACCACGATAGGCAAGCCTCACAACACACACTCGTTGATTTAGCCAGTTCGTCGTTGCATGTTGAGCATAACCACACACCCTTGGTTTTCAACACTTTCAACACTTGTGTGACTAAAATCCAAGCATCATACGAAAAGAACTTTCTTACAGTGTTTATTGCCACGTTTTCATCAAGGCACTCCATGGGCACTTTTTCTGGTATTGACTCCACTTCATTTTCCTGAATGATTCGCCCCCGAGAAATTGCCTCTTCTGCTACCTTCGTAACAACAAACCACTTCAGGATTACTGCAAAATAAAAAAAGCATTTTCTTTGTCAACTTTCAGGAAGCTGCCAAACAATCCTTCAAAATCCTCGGTAACATGTACATGTAAATGGCGTCTGCCCCAATCTTCTAACAATCATTGTTAATACAATATGACAATGCTGATGATATCCAAAAGCAGTGTGGCTGATTCTTTGAGTTACCTTGCTTGAGCTCATGGAACACAGAATACTGTAGTGCGTTTGTGTCCCGCTTTGGCCTTGTGATATGTGGGACACAGATGCACTAAATGTGTGGTGTTCCATGAGTGCAAACGCAAGAACAACTTTATCTTGGAACTAGCAAGCTCTACAAGAAGCTTCAGAGGGTTTAATAATACATGTACTTACTGCGTTGCTTGTCATTCGCAGATTTCAGCAGGAAGGGGACTGGTCTTTTCCTGTTTCCTGACACACTACGGCATGCTCTCTTGGCAGGCAATCCAATGCATGTCAGTCCAGCTCCTTTTGGCCGTCCGCGTTTTTTCATGGTTGGTGGAAATTTAAGCTGGCAATTCATTTGTGATGTGATATCTGTACCAGAGTAAAAATATGCATTTTACCAAGCTATCTTTTAAAAGCTATGGATTTAAAATCAACTGTATTATTATTTGGAGGGGGTTGTCTAATAAAGTTGAAATACATGTAGTAAAATATTAGTATGTCACATTTGTGACAGATGTTGAATTCACTCAGACAACTTACAAATAATAAGCAAATGCTTGCTCCTACATATTTTACTCCAAGTGAAGTTGTTGATGGCCAAACAATACTGCCATTAAGGGATGAACAAGTTTGTGACAACCACACTTACTGTTAAGAGGAAGAGAATCAGTGTTGAAGGGTTGCCCTTGACTGCTTGATGCCATCGGAGTGGGAGTCGGACAGGGAACACCATCCACTATGTCACCTTAAACAAAAACAGGAAAGGAAATACAGATCAGTAGAGGATCATTTGTTCAACCCTATACTTCTCCTACTTTCAATTTGTGACAACCACACTTACTGTTCACAGTCGGGGTATCAGTAGAGGGTTGCCCTTGACTGCTTGATGCCATCGGAGTGGGAGTCGGACAGGGAACACCATCCACTATGTCACCTTAAACAAAAACAGGAAAGGAAATACAGATCAGTAGAGGATCATTTGTTCAACCCTATACTTCTCCTACTTTCAATTTGTGACAACCACACTTACTGTTCACAGTCGGGGTATCAGTAGAGGGTTGCTCTTGACTGCTTGATGCCATCGGAGTGGGAGTCGGACAGGGAACACCATCCACTATGTCACCTTAAACAAAAACAGGAAAGGAAATACAGATCAGTAGAGGATCATTTGTTCAACCCTATACTTCTCCTACTTTCAATTTGTGACAACCACACTTACTGTTCACAGTCGGGGTATCAGTAGAGGGTTGCTCTTGACTGCTTGATGCCATCGGAGTGGGAGTCGGACAGGGAACACCATCCACTATGTCACCTTAATACCCAAAAGAAGGAAAAAGGTTTATCAGATCAGAAAAGATGACGTTATCTATCAAAATGCACTGTTACTTACCAACCAAGTGGTTTTAAAAAACACGGAAAGCAAGCTTTCGAAATGCTTCGCAAATTTGAGACAGTAAGTTATGAACAACAAACTCAGAGTGTGAATTTACAAAAACAGCTCCATTAAGAAATACCCTTTCGGTGGCTGTTTGTATGCAACATAATACTTTATAGAGCAATAAGTTGTTTTTCTGTGGGTTGAAATAGTTAAATCTCTAATATTGGGAACTTACCATCAATTTCTACGACATTTACTGTTTTCCGAGCTGAAAGGCATTTCTGCATATCCATCAGGACATCCATATTTCGCTTGAAATCTCTCATCCCGAACTGAGACATTATCTGGGCTATTGACTGGCAAACTGTGAATGCCTTCTTATATTTCTGTTGTTCGGAGAGTACTGCCTTGCGTTGAGAGTGATTTGCTGTGGAGTGTACTGTCACATCGCACTCATTCTGCTGCTCCTGGTGCTCTGATCTAGTATCATCCATGTACACACGGTGGTTTTTGTAGTAGTATGCTAGTGTCCACCTTTCTGGACAGAGAGAGGCATCATACACTGGAAGATCTTTGCTCAACCTCACAGCAAAGATATGGCGGCACGGAAGTTGCATTGAAGTGAAGAAGCTGCAGTGGCAGCTGTCAACTCCAACAACTTTTTCACCTAGTGAACTGATTTTCACTTTAGCAGATCGGTCATCGAGTGCACGCACAATGCGAATCTTTCTCATGAGGTCCAACTGTTGCTTTAAGTACCCATACGCATACGGAGTGAGCAACTTGCAATAGTCCATCTGGACAGAACTTTGGACCTGTGCAAAGTTGGGCACTTTAGCAATTGCGTCAACTGCATGGTGATTTCGCTCGATCTTTAGACTGCGGATGCACTTCATCAGGTCTTGGAAAAAGACGGTCATGTTGGAACCTCGTGTAACGACACTCTTAAGCTTTTGGTTCGTTGCTTCGAGCCTGTTGTTTGTCATGTTGAGGAAGTTGGAGTGCATGTTCTTGAAGCCTTCTACCCACTCAGACCTGATATTGTGCCAGTTGTCATTAAAGTAAGTTACAACAGACCTGGGACAATCTCGACACAACTGCTGGTACAAAGCATCATATTCAGACTCCGACTTGGCATAGGCCATCTTGTTAAGAACCTCCAGACTCATCTGTCGCTCTCCAACCGAAATTCCCAACTTCTCCGTCGAGACTTCACGCCGGAATGACCTTAGAGTATGGAATAAACATATCATGATGGTAGCATCAGGTAATTTATCCATGAGTACTTTCCGCTCTGTGAGGTCTTTGTCTGCCATCACTACCTTTACAGCACCTGCCTTGGTATTATGGTGTTTGAACTTGTCCATCATGAAGGCAATACTTTCCTGGTCTTCTTGAGCCAGCATCCACAAACACACCACCTCACTATCACCATTCCCATCTACAGACATGAGCACATACAACGGCATCCTCAAGTTGTTGAGTTTGTACGTTGCATCAATCAACAGCAACTCTGGGTAGGCTGCAAATGTCTTCTTCATTTCACCGGTCTGAAAGTAGATGCCTTGAACAGTGTCACTGTTGTCTGTGAGAAGCTCAATGGATGCACCTTATGATCAAATCAAAAATGATGTTACTATTACTTTACTACTTTGACTATGGACATGGGACAAACACATTACACAAGAGCAAATTTACGCATGCCAGAGTGGAGGTTTGAGAGGATGGATAGACGCTGAATTCATTTCTTTTCTTAGTGGCAGTGGGAGGATTTGATCATCACATGATTTCATGTTAATTATTCAATTTTTGGACCTTAATGCCATTAACATCCACAACAACTCAATGGTTGATTTTGATGGAATTGTATCAATGCATTATGTGAATTTTGCTGACTTGGACCAGTACTTAGAAAAAGACACTAGAAAGTTCAGGTCAGTTCACATTATGCTTCAAAACTACATTGGGTTTGCTTTTATGCTACCTTTCACTTTCCGCATCTCTTGTAGCAGTTCTTTGAAGTTGCTGCTGCCACTCTGAACCGATGATGCAAGATTGTGCAAATCCTTCAGACGGACTGGTTTCATGGATGACGTCATAATGTGATTTTGCAAAAGTTTTTTGTTGGCCTTCATTGTCAGCATCGTAGCAGTGCCGTTCGCTTCATCAGTAGTGAGCTTACGTTGCTTTGGCATGTGCACAAACACCTCCTAAAAATAAATTTGCAATACCGTTAGTAGGTTAGACTGATATTTTTATGGTTTACTTTTCCATAGTGCTCGCTGAGAAACCTTTGGTTAAACTGATTTTTTTTGGTACTTTTTATTTCCCTATTATTCCAAAATTAGAATTAACTGAATGATTACCAATAGCTGACCAATTTTTTGTCCAATGGGTTTTTAGAAAGCACATGGCTTTTGCGATTCTAGGAAATTAGAATTTTGAAAATTTATTTTTATTGGGTGCCACGCCAACAATGCACGGACAGTATATCTTTAAGTTATAGTGAAAAGGTTCAATGACCTGTACTCAGAAGCAACACAACCAAACATCTTTATTTTGATTTAGTTCACACTCAAATTCATTTATAAAATCATACTCCATAGAATCAGCACAATAGATATAATTACAACTACATATCCTACTTTTGAAAGGCATGTAATTGGAAGCACAATTTCGTTTGCCTAAATGTGCAACATGTAGCAGTTGATGGACTCACCTTGTTCAATTCGTGGTTGTGGGACCCACAAATTTCTGTCACACGAAGCTTTTTGCCATCCTATGTTGTCCGCACTTTGATGCTGAGTGGGCATCCTTTCACAAATGTTCTAGATTACAACAAAACAGGTTCAGGGAAATGCATTGTTGAGCTGGCATTCTTGAAAATCAGTTGTGTCTCTTTTGTGTCATAAAAGAACATTACTTATTCAACACTTTCCCTTTTTTAAAGACATTTGTCTTTCATTATTTTAAATGGACTCATTTATTTTGAAGATCATGCATTGTAATTTAAGCTTGAGCTTTCCCCCCGAAGATGGCGGCATCAAGCAGAGATGGGGGCATTTGTGTAGTTGAGGACACGTATACCCGCGTTCACCGTTTGTCAATGACATAATGTAATAATTGTAAATCTCGACTCTGGGTCCTCAGTTTCATTAAAAAATATTTTTTTCAAAATAAATGATGTATATTTGAAAAATCAAAAAAATGTTTTTCATTTCTTTGGTTTAGTGGGTGTTCTTATCAAACATACCGAACGGTTTTGAAAACGTTATAAAAGAGGCTCAGAAATGGAACTTTCAGAACCAAATTTTGAATTGGGCAACTAATAGTTCAATCCCAAAACTCAGATAACGAAGCTGATTTGCTGGACCCTCTGTGTTCCCCTCCACTGTCTTTATTTTTTTTTTTACGATATCCCCGTACGGTGCATCATTTTCCAGGAGGCGAGTCGGTCAGGGGGCGAGTCGGCTAGGAGGCGAGTTGGCAAGGGGGGGGGGGGGGGGGGGGGGGGGGGGAGTCGTCTAGGGGGCGAGTCGGCCAGGGGGTGAGCTTGTAAGGGGCGAGTCGGTCAGGGGGCGAGTCGGTAAGGGGCGAGTCGGCCAGGGGGCGAGTTGACCTGACACCCTGTGTACAACAAACCCTAGTATGATTGGACTGAAAAATTTTACGCAAATTCTAAGTGTATTCTAAGAAAATGTTTCTCACTGCTCAAATTGACTTTGATGACATGAAATTGCTATCTGGGGGCTTGTTAGTCAATACAGAGGAAAATTAGTGAACTTCGTATAATGGAAATCTTTCCCGAAAAGATAGTCAACGAGCCTACCTCTGATTTGGCCGAACACCCTTTGACCTCGACAAAGCTCTTCTGCCGCCATGCACGCACGCGAAGTCGACCTCGTAGTATTTCAAGGCGTCGCTGACGACTTTGTTAGGGGCCCTTTTTTTGGCCGATTTCACCGTGTGGGAGCTTCTTACATACAGGGAGGTATATGTGGCCTTTTCCCACTCTGATACTGACTGGGACAGTGCCTCAAAAGAGGCAAATTCTGCGCCCACAACGAGAGAATTCGCCATGTCTCTTGGGCACTCGTCCGACCTCGACCGAGACGCCAGAATCAGAGGCCTGTACATAAGCTACGTATTGCATGGCCGCCTGTCGTGCATATGCCCCGGCCGGCCGGGCGCGCACAGATCCACGGCCCCCCGCGACGCGCGACGCAGGAAGCGTCAGCTTCGTGGTTCGATCGGCCATGTCATCGCGCTTGCGCAGTTGCAGTGCCGTAACGATAGAAAATGGGAAATGCGTTACGGCTGCCGTAACAATAGCCACTGCGATAAAATACAATGCACATTATTAATTACATAAAAAATGACAATTCCTTACCTTAAACTGGGAGCATGGATAGGCGCCCTAGTCGAATCAAGTCTGATCTGTACCGTTGAACACTCGTCGTATACGTACGTACGTACGTACGTACGTGTACTATACTCGACTCGACTCATCTGCCGACGCGCGACGCGACGTCATCACAGTATGCACAGTACGCGTACGTACGTGTGTACACGGCCTGGCGCGGCCCGGGCGGCAATAAATGCAGAGCGACCGTTTCTGCACATGCAGATTTGGCGGTAAAATGACATTCGCATTGCATTTTGGGTATGGTTTAAAATTTCCGCATACATGTATTCCCCATGGGGCAGTGAACCGGTCATATTTGTCAACTGTTATGTCTACAATTTATTTGTAAAACTGATTGTTCCTCATTTCAAATATTGATGCACAGATTTACACAAAATATATACTTGTAAAATAATTTTGTTTGAGCCTACAAACATGAAGGGAGTGTCTGGAAATCTCCTTGGGTACCAGCTACAGGTAAAGCGACCCCTGAAACTAGAAGAGCAGGCACAAGAACGATTGTGATTGGTTGTGACAGCTTGTGATCTTCATTCTCATTGGCTAATTAGGACGATAGCTCTTCTGGTTCCAGTACCATAGACTTGACCGTTATGTTATATGCCCCATAAACATAATTGTTTTGAATATTCACGCCCTGTTCAAGTTGAATATGTTTAAAATCTAAAATTAACAGTCATTCGTGCTCCTGATTAATTTTGTGTGTGTGTAATGATTAACATTAGCTGTCTACCCTTTTAGAACATCATTAAAGTTTAATTACAAACAAAAAAATAAACATTGTTAAACACTGCACTCTCAAAACTGTGTTCAGCAATTATACACAATCATCTTATCATTTTTTGAAACATGTTTTGAAGCTAAACATTGTGCGTTCAATTCCTATAAACATCAATGTTCAAATCGATCCATACTTACTATAAACATGTTCAGTATTTAAACATGTTTGATAGCAAGAAAGTGTTTAGAAAAGTGTTTAATTGCTAGACACTGTTTATGCATTATGCGTTGGTTTAAACACATGTGTTTAACCAACGCAACTTTCTCATAACGTAAACATCCAAAGTGTTTAATTTTCAATAATGTTTAGATTATGACTTTTGTGTTCAATTCCTAAACATCGATGTTCAATTGTTAAACACTATCCCTCTTACTCTAAACATGTTTAGGTATTTAAACATGTGGCAAAGTGAAAGCAGGATCGTTTTTAGAAAAGTGTTTAATTGCTAAACACTGTTCATACATTGTGTGTTTAGACCAACGCCGTATAACGTAAACATCCAAGTGTTTAAACGTAAACATCCAAGTGTTTAAATTTGCGTTTATAACGTAAACATCCGAGTGTTTAAATTTTCAACAGTGTTTAGATTATGTGTTCAATTCCTAAACATCAATGTTTAATTGTTAAACACTATCCCTCCTATACTCTAGACATGTTTAGTATTTAAACATATCGCAAAGTGAAAGCAGGAAAGTGTTAGAAAAGTGTTTAATTGCTAAACACTGTTTATGCATTGTGTGTTTAGACCAACGCCTATAAACACTTTGCGTTTATAAGGTAAACATCCAAGTGTTTAATTTTTCAAAAGTGTTTAGATTATAAACGCGTCATGTGTTCACCGGTTTTACAGTGTAGTTGGTAAACAATAGGGCATAGATTCAGGTCTTACCTGAGTCATCTTTGAATAGTATTTTAATGGTTGATCAATTGTTCTGAGCATCCAGTGGAGATAAATGTCATTTATGAATAATAACCATCCTTTGCAAAAACATTCTGAATCATCTCATTGGGAGGCAGTAGCTTAACTGAGGGAGGGGGATCGAGAACCCCTCCCCTGGAGGGCAAGTGTCACTAACACTCCCCTGATGCCCCCTCCCCCAATTTTGGAATAAAGTTTTCAATGATGCATATAAAACACTATAAATTCACCTCTGAGTGCCCTCCCCTGTGAAAGGGACTCTGAGGAATTCACCACTACTAACAGTACACATGAATATAGGCAATGTATAGAAGTTGCTTGATTTTGATTCTTTTTTATTAAATGTTTTGCATATTTATGGATTTTGTCTGTGTTTAATTCACAAAAAGGAAAAGAGCCCATACAGAGAGACATTATGTTTATACATAGTTGTAAAATATGTTTTTACATAGTTGTAAAAAGAAAAAAAGATGTGTTGATGTATTAAAACTTGCTGAAAATCTTTCCCCAAACAAATGAGATGATCTGGATTCTACACAACAATGGAGCAGATCTAGTCGACAACATTGACAATATTGACAACACAACAATCATTTTGAAAGGAGAGTCGCCATGTCCATCTCTACCAAAAGATTTGATAGACCTCAACTATTCTGTACTCTTTCTTTTATGTTTACTGTACTTGAACTTGAACATCATGTTAATGAGCTAGATTTTAATGTGAACAAAGAAAACTGGCAGGAGTTGGACTTGAAACTTTGACCTCCGGAACACCAAACCGGCGCTCTACCAACTGAGCTATCTCGCCCTTAGTTGGCAGTCTCCAAATCTGTCAGCAACTCTGTTGAGGGGGTTGCAAGTCAGAAATCATAAACCCACAATGACAAATAGCCAGAGATCACACCATAACTTTACAATACAACCTGGAAAGTGGCATTGTGGGGATCACCCAATGAGGATACAACTTTTTACATAAAAATAATTGAATTAGATAATAACCTAGTCAGTTTCCCTCGTGGTCTGTTTGATGATGAGCTAGCTTTTAAATGTTTAGTAAAATTGACTTACTAAGGTCAAGATGCATCTGATAAAGTATAGAATAAGTCTTAATAGGTGTTATTTTCAGTTACAAAGTTTAAACCTCCAAACCTTTGAATTATAAACTTTACTCGGGTTCAAATCCCGCTTCAGTCAAATTTTCTTTGCTAATCAATTATAAAAAAAGTGTTAGGAATGATAAGTAACTCGCTAGGTATAAATGGAAATGATTTGAAATGAGCAAGGAAAATTTGACTGAACTGATCATTTGTCATTATCATTTGTAATTCATTTATATATAAACGCCTTCGAGAGATTCTTTATTCATATTGGTCGACAACGCGTCAAGTGACTGTGTATTAACATTTGATAATATCCCGCTCAGATGTGACAATGCCCGCTGCGTAAGAAAATTGCCCCAAAACATTGATTTTTTAATGGTCATGCCATAAAAGTATGAACATTTTTTTTTTCACTAAAGAAACTTTGTGGTCTCTCGAAAGTGCATGGGTTTTGAAGTTCAGGGAAATTTGGGGTACTTCTATGACATGCCAATAACCAATCGACATTGTGACGAGCGGTTCTTAACAACAGTAGACGGGCCTACCCCGCCGTGTCCTCCGCATTCCAGTAGGCCTACACTAGCGCTATAGCATGGGGAGTTCCCAATTGTGACCCAACGATATGTTACCTTGTCATGCTCGCGCTCACGGTCGGCACAATATCATTTTGTGGGTTGTACATTCAATAAAAAGCATGGTGTAATCATCAACACAACCCAAGTTTTGGCTACTTCATCCAAATAATTTTGAATAAGTAAAGTTTAGATTCCAAAATATCGCTTCAGTAGTAAGTAGTTTGGGTAACTACATGTACCTCGTTAAGGCGACACCAATTTGTCGCCCTAATGAGGTGTGTAACCGTAACCCACCAAATTCTCCAAAACTTTGTCGCCCTTTTGCTGTATTCTTTAATTTACAGTACCTGAAGTCAAGGGTGTATTTGCCAGGCATGCCCATATCCATGTAATATGACTACTTTGTAATATGACTACTTTCTGACTCTCCTTACAGATGCTTATGCATGATTTTGTGTAAATTAGTTGTGATTGATACCCCACTACTTTAAACAGTTTCAATTTCCATATTTTTGTCGTTAAGGTAAGTTTTGGCATTTTGCAGTACCTGAATTCAGTTGAAAAATCATGGCTTACCTTCACATTCATGTACATTGAATATTTTGAAAATATGTTGGAGGGGGTATAGCGTATCTGAGGCATTAAAGCACGGATATTCCGCTGGTGCAAATCCATCAGTTGTCAATTTTAGATCAGTTAAACAAAGGGACAATTGTAGCCACAGTAGTGTTTTGGTGATTATGTATAGTGCGCGACCTGTGTAAATTAGATTGACCTCTAAGGGGACAAAGGACATATTATGGGATAGCAGCATGGTTAAGAACGGAGACTAATAAAACGCTCTGGAGACAAGATTCGTTTTGTATTCAATTCGTCTTCATTGAGTTTAATCAGCCTTCATTAATACTACAGCCACATTCTCTTTTTTTTTTTCTTTTTTTTTTTAATCTTGTGCTTTTGTTTGATATTTTTATGTTTGCTTTAAAACTCACTAGAGCTAGGTGTTGACATTTGATATGTTGTTCCCTATGACATGGAAGAGGGTTGGGGATGGACAGGGTATTATTTCAAAAGCTTCGTCTATTTATCACATTCAACAAGAAATTTTGTTGGCAGCTTGTCATCACAGTAGATATTTGTAACTAGTGTCTTTCATTTCTTTTCAGATGTGATGAATCTCGTCAGGCACAATACCATCATATTAGCACTGTGGTTGATCGATTCATTGTCGGTCTACAAAAACAACCACTACATATTTATTAAATGAATAAAGGTATGAATTTACCTAGGAATGAAATGTAAATACTCGGTCACAACCTGGGTTTAGAAATGCATTGTAATTAAGAGAACAGAAATGTGATGAAGTAGCTTTAAACAAGTTTGTATAAAAGTGGGTGAGGGCCTGGTTGGCGATAATTACAGGGCCAAAAACGAGATCATTACATGTATAAGGCCCCATAATCACAATAGGTCAACACATTTTAATGTGCTGGTAATGAAGCTGCCAGCATTGGCAACTCATTGGTAGAAGCTGGGTTCGATAAATTTCAGTTAAATTCAGACATTTATAAATAGAAATCACATGCAACTATATCTTTTCGTCATCATGTGCAAATTTTAAAAATCTATTTCATAATATACACAAACGTTGGCACCTCTTGCCAACATTTCCCAACGCGATACCAACACACTACCAATGCACAGACAACGTGGAACACAATAGACAACACATAGAAATGGTGAACAATGCATTTGCCTATTTTGATACGGTGCCTTAGCAACCAGACCCCCAGCCAGTTTGAAACGAACTTGTTTAAACATATATTTTAGAGGATGCTTTACAATCAGAGGATGCTCTGCGGACAAAGAGTGCTCGGCAGCCAGACGATGCTCAGCAGACAAGGGGGGCTCGACAGCCAGAGGATGCTCAGCAGACAAGGGGTGCTCGGCAGCCAGACGATGCTCAGCAGACAAGGGGGGCTCGACAGCCACAAGATGCTCAGCAGACAAGGGGTGCTAGGCAGCTAGAGGATGCTCAGCAGACAAAGAGTGCTCGGCACACACAGGATGCTCAGCGGACAAAGGGTGCTCGGCACACACAGGATGCTCGACAGCTGTGGGCAGAGTACTCACGACATCATTATGGGTACGATGAGCCCCATACATGTCCATGATATGCAAGTTGATTAGGTTCCTTATATCTACTAGAGTTGCTGACTTTTTGGGTTTTTTTACAGTGCGAATTGACTTTCAGAGAAATGAATCGGCAACAAAGATATCACATGGAAGATAAAAAGTAGCTTTGGAAACTTATCAGACTATCCTTCAGTGCACAAATAATATAAATGTCACTTGCAGGTCCAAGGTGCATTCATCCCACTACCACACTATGTAAATTGTAAACCTCTTCTCACAACTATCAATTTGTGTTTTTTCGTAATGATCCTTGAATTCTCACAAGTAACAGCTTCACATTTTACTCATAATTGACAACTCACAAGTAACAGCTTCACATTTTACTCATAATTGACAACTTTCCCACTTCCCGTTTTCCTATAGTCTTGTTTAAACTTTCCTAAAGGAAAGTCCAGTGCAAACACGGCTTGTCAGTGCAAACACGGCTTGTTAATAAACCCCATAATATGCCAGAAGCTCTGTTTGTACTGTGTTTGTACAAATTTAATTTTTTATAGTTGTTCATGACCCATACGTATGAATTATGGTTCTTATTTTTGGATACCAATTAATATCTAGATTAGCAGTAGCCGAGTCAAATGCTCAATTTTTATCCTTTTGAAATAACAAAAAAACAGTAACTAGAAATGTGTGTGTTTGTCTTTGGACAGAACACAAGGCTTTTCCGTTTCCTCTTCTTTAAAACAAAAGAAAAAAATACGTTATTGTGGGATGTACTTGTATGGCGATGCTAAGTTTATCAGATCTGAGATTCGTTATGTTTTATGTTGGTAGGCCTTCATACCTGCATACATGTACATGTATGTGCAGCGACATTTATTCGCTCACACAACGAACGCACTTGTAGTCGACCAAGTCTAAAAATTTCAGCCACAGTTATAATTTTCAAAACCAATCAACCAGCGGTCGCCACAGGCATAGAAAATACGCTATCCATCATCCGCAATGCAGCTTCAGTCATTCGACTGATTAATGCAAACTGCTGCTGGCACTTATGCCCGTGATTGCAATCCAGCAGTCGCATGGACAAGGAACACACCCTCACCCCATGAGTCCAGCGCAGAGAATGGCACCAAGTACCGGCAAGGCTGGGTTAAGGCAGTAAAAAGAAGAAACGAATTTGTTATTTTTTTTGGGGGGGGGGGGCGTAATTACACTTTTTTAGTGGCGGATCCGTAATCCAAGTTATCAACAAAAACCATGGTTTGAGTTGGCCTGAGCAATGATAAAAAAAAATGTTACTGTTAGCAAAAACATTTATAGGGCAACTGACAATGAAATTCGGCCAACGACATTTTAGACATCCCTGCCTGTGTAGTATTAATTAATCCAAGTTTGTCACCTAAGGCGGTCCATACTGATCTACAAGGAAGGCCAAAGGTCACCCCTCAGTCAGAAGTCATGACAGCCACAAACCAGTGTGATTCTCTCTCTCAATATCTAAATTTTGGCTCTCGGATCTTACAATATTGGCGACGAGCACATTATCTTTCGCAACGCCGAGGAACCCAGCAACACCGTAAAGTTGGTTTTGATCGCCGATTTCGAGAACAAAACTGTGCATTTCCGCGTGGAAAATCAGAGTGAGTGAAACGTTTTCGTACACACATACCGCACGTGTACATGTACTGTGGCATTGGCTTTACACACAACGCATCGTGTACGTGTAGTACTCGTTGCCGCGCCGGACATTGTTTATCGTACGCATCATCGCCGAACCTTTGTAATCAAAATGTCCGCTACAAACCCGCCGTCCTTTCAAGCCTTCCAACCTCATGTAAAGCCTTCCACTGCCGGCGTACGGTGGCGGAAATATGTCAACAGGCTGGACATCTGTTTGTTGCATTTAAAGTAACTGATGACAGACAACAGCGGGCATTACTTCTGCACTACGCCCTGAAGTAATGGACATCTTTGAGATATTGTCTGAAACCGGATCAACCTATGAATCCGGCAAAGATGCACTCACCAAGTACTTTGAGCCTCGTAAGAACATCGAATATGAGCGATTTGTCTTTCGTGAGGCCAAACAGTTGCACAATGAAACTGTCGCAGACTATGCAACCCGCCTCCAACAGCTAGCCAGAAACTGTGAGTTCCACGACAAGGACACTGAAGTGAAATCTCAGATTATCCATGGCTGTAAATCGTCAAAGTTGAGACGCCATGCCCTCCGTGAATCTGAGCTAATCCTCGTAAAGCTTCTAACGACTGCTAGAACTTACGATCTGTCTGAGGTGCAAGCCAATGGCATGGAACAACACACACAACCAAGCCGCGACTCAACCAACCGCGTGACTACTACAAAGTCCCACACGCGAAATCGCGAGTCGATCAAAGGTCCACATGCCCTAAACCCAGACACTCTGTACCCTGTCGGAACTGCGGAGGTACATTTTCCTTACAAGCAAACAATGCCCAGCCAAAGGTGTGACATGCCACTTGTGTGGTAAACTCAATCACTTCGCCAAACATTGTCTCAGTCGCGGAATGTCACACAAGCCACAGTACAACAAAGCAAAAGTGCACGCCGTTGACGACTATGACTATGTGTTCGGGGTGTCATCAACACCGAACTCCAAACACCCAGTTGTCACCATAACTGTCGACCAAACAACGCCAGAGATTGCGGGCACATTCAAAAACCGCCGTTGCCTACGAAACCTCGCACGTGAACTCCACGTTCTTTGTCACCAAAACAACTAAGGACACACTGATCAGCTTCATTCACGTGATCATTCACGTGGCGTACAATCTTCAACCCGATGATCCCCCAAAGCTTGCAGACAAGCTTATGAACCAGTACGCAGACCGTTTTACAGGCATCGGCATGTTGAAGAACATTCAATGCAAGCTGCACGAGGACAAGACAGTCCAACTAATCGCCCTGCCTCATTGCCGTATCCCCTATCATGTCAGGAAGAAAGTCGAGAACGAACTGGAAAAACTGCTTTGCCTTGACATCATTGCGCAAGTACGCAATGAGCCTACCTCATGGGTTCCACCCATCCACGTGGTCGAAAAGCCTCATCGACCAGGTGAGATTCGCATGTGCGTGGATATGCGAAATGTGAACACCGCCATCAAGCGCGAGCGTCACATTACACCGACCATCGACGTTATCCTTGCCCAAGTCAACGGATCCACCGTCTTCAGTAAATTTGACGTAAATGCGGGTTACCATCAAGTAGAGCTAGCCCCCGAGTCTCGCCATCTGACCGTGTTTTCAACACACAAAGGCCTGTTCTGTTACAAGCGTTTAAACTTCGGTGTTTGCTCTGCAGCCGAAGTTTTCCAGGATGCCATCTCCTCCGCGCTCCGCGGCCTCGCAGGCACACTCAACATCAGCGACGACATCTTAGTGTTTGGCCGCACACAACAGGAACGCGACGCACGCCTCGCAGCATGTCTGCAACGCCTTCGCGAATGTAACCCGACTCTGAACAAGGACAAGTGTCGCTTCGGCAAATCACGCGTTGAATACTCTGGACATGTATTCAGCTCCACTGGCATCTCCCCCGACAAGAAGAAAGTAGATGCAATCCAAAATGTGTCTGAACCTACCAACGCAAGTGAAGTACGCAGCTTCCTCGGAATGATCACGTACTGTAGCCAGTTCATGCCTGACCTTGCCACGGTTTCCGCACCCTTGCGCGAGTTGACAAAGAAAGACACACCCTAGCAATGGGGACCCGAACACCAGCAAGCACTCCGCCAAATCCGCGAACGAGTAGCACATTGCTGTACAATGGCATACTACGATCCCAGCAAGAAAACTGAACTAGTAGTTATGCCAGCCCAGTTCGCCTATCTGGTATCCTCGCCCAACGCAATGACAAGGACGAACTGTTGATCGTTGCTCTCGCGAGCAGATCACTGACGCCAGTCTAACAGAGATATTCCCAAACGGAACGTGAGGCCCTAGCTATCACATGGGCGATACTTCACTTCCACCTGTATCTCTATGGCAGCAACTTCATCGTCATCACGGATCACAAACCGTTGGTCCCACTGTTTAACAACCCGCACAGTAACGCACCAACCCGCATTGAACGCTGGTTGCTAAAGTTGCAAGAGTACAACTTCACCGTCGAGTATCAGCAGGAAAAGTTGAACCCTGCAGACTATATGTCGCGACACCCCCACGAACAACCGCGAACCACCAGCAGAAAACAACGCCTTGCGGAAGAACACGTCAACTTTATATCCGCAAACGCTGTACCCGAGTTTGTCACTTTCGACACAATCCGCACCGCCACTCGAAAAGACCCAGTTTTTCAATCAGCCATTGACGCGCTCACCACTCATAGCTGGGACACGCTCCTGAAGAACCCCCACAGCCAACAGACTCTTGCCACACTCTAGAGCCTACACAAGGTACGCGGTGAACTCACAGCCACAACCGATTGCGATCTGCTGCTCCGTGGAAACCGCATCGTAATTCCACAGGCACTCGCACAACGCATCGTCGACATTGCCAATGAGGGACACCAAAGCATGACAAAGACTAAACAGTTACTTCGCGAGAAAGTTTGGTTTCCCAGCATGGACACCCTCGTCGAAAAACAATTCGCGACTGCTTTACATGCCAGCTGACAACGCCTGACGACACCAGGACTCCGCTTAACATGATCTCCCAACAGGAGAACATCTCCTAGTAGTCATCGACGACTACAGTAGCTTCCCTGAAATCGAAATCGTGTTTTCCACCTCATCGCGTACGGTGATTCCCAAACTCGATCTTTGCCACATTCGGCATACCGAAGGTCGTCCGCACTGACAACGGACCACCATTTAACAGTGCAGAGTTTCACCCTTCGCAGACTACCTTGGGTTCCATCATCGGAAAGTGACCCCACGTGGGCCCCGCGCCAATGGGGAGGTGGAACGCTTCGTGAAAACAGTAAAAAATACCTCTCGCACCACAATCGCCGATGAAATGCCATGGAAGCAAGGTCTGTACAAGTTCTTGCGAAACTACCGTGCAACACCCCATGCTACTACAGGAGTTGCACTTGCTACACTCCTCTTTGGCAGGCTACTCCGCACCCGTCTCCCTGAAACCCCACATAAGTCCCAGGCTAAAGACGTACGATCCCAAGACGCACGCAAAAACCCAGCTAACACATAACGTTTTCATAACGTTCCTGGAAAGTTACCTTCGGTAACGTTCTGTAAAAACGTCCCCTAAACGTTACGCAGACGTTTGAAAGAAACGTTACATTGTAACAATTGTAACACGTTCTGTAACAACGTCCGCTGAACGTTATGCAGACGTTTGAAGGAAACGTTTCATTGTAACAATTGTAACACGTTCTCTAAAACGTCATTTGAACGTTATGCAGACGTTTCAAAGAAACGTTTTATTATAACAATTGTAACACGTTCTCTAAAAACGTCATCTGAACGTTTTGCAGACGTAAGAAAGAAACATTACATTGTAACATTTGTGACACGTTCTGTAAAAACGTCAGCTGAACGTTTTTCGGACGTTTGAAAGAAACGTTACATCGTAACAATTAGAACACGTTATTTAAAAACGTCACCTGAACATTATGCAGACGTTAGAAACAAATGTTGCATTGTACCATTCAAACAATGTTATCAACAACGTCTGAATATTGTTTTACGGATGTCTAAATGTAACGTTTTACTGTAACGTTCTGATAACGTTCCAAAAACGTTGATATCGACATAAGACACAGTATACAAATATTGAGTGGCTCAGCGTGGAATGGGAGGAATATTATCGCAAGGTAAAATCTGGACTTTTCCATTTCACGAGGCGAAGCCGAGTGAAATGGAAAAGTCCAGATTTTACCGAGCGATAATATTCCTCCCATTTCACAATTTAAAGCCACTCAATATTTGTTTTATATAACTGACATATAGATCCTTGTCATTTGATATATTTGAACTTTTATTTCAATACAAACCTGGAGGAAAATGTATTTGTCTCTTCCAAACCACCCCTTCGCGAAAATGTTTGAACCCAACGCTGTAGCGCTGGCTCTTTGGAACAATACGCGCTACGCGCAACGCTGAACGCGCACACCAGCATGCATTTGCACACAAATACCGCGTCATGATCCTAACTGTTGAATAGTATTTCCCATTCCCCATGGGCGGATAGTACTTTTTGAGCCGTGGCATGAATGGGAGCAATAACGAATGCCACGTGATGTGAGTGCCACCAATCAAATGACTAGGATCTGTATGTCAGTTATATAAAATCATTTATTTCACAATTTCAACGGCCATCTTGTTTCAAAACTCCAAATCATCAAGACGCCAAAATTTAACAAGACGGCCGTTCAACTCATCAGTATCGTAGTATTTTTAAGTCAGTGTCGAATGTACTAGAAACATGGTCCCGCGCTCGCATCGTGTCACCGCGTACCAGCTAGCTGCGATGGTTCCCACACACACTCATCGCCATCGCGATGTAATGGAGTGCTCTACCCGGTACCCGACATACAAATGTACTGTTGGAGAACCAGCTGAGACGACGTTGCACATTATATGCATGCAAGAAGCGCGGTGAATTAAATTGTGAAAGTGGATTGTTCGATTGTGATGCGTTGTCTGATAATTATCTTGTCATATCAAACACATCCTTTCAGCGCCTTCACAACAAAGTAAGTAATCTAAAGCAAGATTGTTTATACCACATGTAGGACTTTTTATTTTTACATTCCACGGGCTTCTTATAACAGCTTTCTCAGTCATGAAATTCAGGTACATGTAGGTCAGTATTAAACTCGGCATAGGCTAAACGTGCACAACGTGCCGAATATACATGCTGGTTAAATTTCATGGATTTTTCAACCACAAAAAACAATTGTGAGTATCATTGAAGCCCCATTACTTCGTCTTTGATACGTGTGGAAGCCAGTACATGATTTGAAAGGTATTTTGGCAAGTATTTTGCGTGATTTTTTCCCAACATTATGAGTAGGCCTAGCTAGGCGAGTAACTCCAGCTGACATGTTCCATATTCATTCACATGTAACGCTGGAGGAATAACCTGTTCGTTAGAATGTGGTAGCAAGAGACCCTAAAAAAAGGCCTCACCAAAATTGTCCAAATTTCACCTCTTTTATCTAGCTGGAGTTACCCTGCCCTAAATTTTTTCATTGGGTTGTCATTTAGGGCTGGAGCTAATTTTTCACGTAACCCAGCAGCGTAGGCAGGTCCTAAAAAAAATTGTGAAAAATTTTGGAAAATGTTCAATTTTGTCCCCATTACACACTAATTGCAACTGCAACTCACCCCAAACGTGCCTGGAATAACCATTACACAGGTACTTGAAGTAAAAAACGATCCACGATGAAGATTCAGCCTACAATTGCAGTGAAAAAAGGAGGAATAACCGCTAACCTGACAACCTTGCAGGCATGGCCAGGACCGCAATTGGTTTGTGCACAAAAAAAATTGTGTACAATGAATGGCGGTCGATTACCAGGCACAGCGCGCTGTCAACTAGTCGTTTTTGCCGGCTGCGCTGGCTGTTGGCGCATGAGGTCACGCGGAAGCGTAACACCCAATGACTGTTTCATGCACTAATATGAGGTTTACCACTCGCATCACAGCTGCGGTACTGGAACCGCAACCAATAGTGCATGAAACAGTGTTTTTTGGGGGGACCTGCCTACGCTGCTGGGTTACGTGAAAAACTAGCTCCAGCCCTAAATGACAACCCAATGAAAAAATTTAGGGCTGGGTAACTCCAGCTATCTTTTATCCCACCCCAGAGTTCATTTACATACCTCATACATTCAGCAGTCATTTACGAAGCCTAATCATGCTAATGATCGACTTGAAACAGACCACAAAAAAGAGTGAAAAATCTTGACGATTTCGGTGGCTTGTCCGTAAAAAATATGCCAGTTCCAACGGGTGTCTTCCATTTTGTTTTACTAATTATGTAAATGTTTGCATCACGTGATGACATAAAAAAAATCTGCGCGCGCGATATATGTGGGTACCACACCACTTTCAGGCGCTGCAAGTGAGTTCAATTTTCGTCTGGTGCGTTGTCGCGGAAAGCAAGACAACGAGAATGCCCTCCACGGCAATGCACCAGACGAAAATTGAACTCACTTGCGGCGCCTGAAAGCGGTGTGGTACCCACATACATCGCGGGCGCAGATTTTCTTTGATGTCATCATGTGATGCATACATTTACACAATTAGTAAAACAAAATGGAAGACAGCCGTTGGAACTGGCGTTTTTTACGGACAAGCCACCGAAATCGTCAAGATTTTTCATTTTTTTTGGTGGTCTGACTGAAGTGCAACTATTAATAGTTGTTAAGCTTTCACAACAACCTTTGCTTTAATGTTTTAGATCAGAGCCTTCATGTCAAATTAGACATGATTTTGGACAACCAAAAAGAGGAGTTGTGCCTCTTGAGGAAAGTGGCCAGGCTCCGAGCTCCTGATGATGAGGACATCGAAGAATTTACTCCAAAACCTCTGGAAACTGTCGCAGAACTGGAGGACCTATGTGAAAAGCTGAATTCTCCTGAAGAGGCCAACTTCAAAAACAGATGGTAAATTGCTGTCTTGTAAATTCATGTATTTTTCTTAAAATCAGAGGGCCTCCGGGAGCAGTTGATATATGACCGAGGGACATTTGTTTTATAGGTATTTGCTGATGTTTGTTACTTACGAACCCTGAGGAAGAGACACAAGGACATGTTAAGCTGCTGTCCGCAACTAAAAAATCAAACTTAAGCATGACTGATGTGAATAGTTTTGGTAGTTCACTCCACCGGCTGTGTCACTCACACTTGTAGCATGTATTTACGCCACACAATTGTCTCATTGTATATTTTTCCTTCAGATTCGTCACTTTACTTCCATGGGAGGCTACAACCTTGGCGAGAGTGTCCGCCACATGCTACGCAGGCTAGGGACAAATATGCTGTGGTCCCTTTACAGCTACAAGGGACGAAAGGGGAAAAGAGCTCTGAGCGATCTTCAAATCTCCCGGGTGTTAATCAGTAAGCTGCGTTTATTTGATTTCCTTGAAATGACATGTAAATTCATTCATTTTTTTTCAAGAAAGAATTTTTTTTATAAAGTTCATATATCAGATGCCAGTTATTGAAAATTATTAAAATGTTGACATCTTCTTCAACCGTTCTTGTAGAAGCCTGTCTGAGTGCCCACCCAAAAAGCCGAGTCTTGGAAATTGAAGAAACCATCCAAGAGACTCTCAAGTACTGCCCAAACCGAAAGGGTGGGGCAAAGTACAAGGTACGTTTCTCTTGTTGCATTTTCAGTTTTCACACGCATAAAGTCTAGTCTTGTCAAAACACAAATATTAAGTGACTCCGAGTGAAGGGAGGAATATTATTGAAAGGCAAAATCTGTACTTCTCCATTTCCTTAGGCGAAGCGGAGTGAACTGGGAAAAGAAAATCCAGATTTTACCGAGCGGTAATATTCCTCCCATTTCACAATTTAAAGGCGATCAATGTTTGTTTTATATTATTGACATTTAGATCCTTGTCATTTGATATATTAGAAATCTCATTTCAACATGAAATTGGTAAAACAAATGTCTTTCTGTCTTCCAAACCATCCCTTCATGAAAATGTTTGAACCCAGCTACTGTCGCGCTGGCTCTTTAGGACAATACATGCTACGTGCATTGATGAACGCGCACACCAGCATGCATTTGCACTAATACCGCGGCATGGAACAAAGATGATCCTATAACTGTCAAATAGTATTTCCCATTCCCCATGGGCGAATGGGAATTTTTGAGCCCCGGAGGGAATGGGAGTAATTAACGAATATCACGTGATGTGAGTTCCACCAAGCAAATGACAAGGATATGTATGTCAGGATATATAATACAACTTAATCAGCTCTACAGTGCCAGTTTATTGTGTATTTACGAGAGTCGACTGTGCACATTGGAATTTGGTTGATAATACTTTAGCTTGAAAACAAAAACTATCCTGACAGTCAATAAAACGTGTTCACTTTTTGGCATGTCCATTGTTTTGTATTGTTCTTCTGTTGGTCAAATACATGTACATGTACACGTATAACATATACATGTAGAACACTTGAATATTGTCTACTTTGATTTCATGAAACGTATTACTTCAACCAGATATGATGCATTTGAAACACTGCGAAAAAAAAACCGGACTGTACTTTTCATTGACCGCAACTGGCTACAAGTACCTCCCCCCCCCCTACAAATTTAGACAAGAGCTGCTGGTAGGGAAAATTTCAACTTGCTGCATTGTGCACGGGCAAAGACTAACTGGCGGCATGTTGTCACCGAGTCCAACGCCAAACATGTATGAACCTATGCACACACTAGGAAAGGGACGTTGTTACTATGTAAAAAAAAATGCAATCTTTTGTTCCTGCAAGAAGCGGATTGGGTAAAAAATTATTATAAGTTTCCAAAAATGTCAGGTTTTCTTTTGGTGTCTGTTTTTTGTTGTATTTATTCTGATGTTTGAAAAGTTCATTTATCTTTTAACTTCACAGAATCCTGAGGCCAACACGATCGCAACACCAGATGAGGCCACCACCGACCTTGATGACTAGCCCAACTGAAAATGATTGGTAACAACACCCCCCCCCAAAAAAAAAAAAAATAGATAAAAGATTAGAATATATTTGAGCTTCCAAACCTGAAACAATCTTGCCAAAAAGTGTTCATGTATATGTTAAGTGTGCTAATCTACTTCTTCCTCAATAAGTACATAATAGCACATAAAAGATGGTGCTACATTATTTACTCTAATACTTGGAAGAATTAGGATATATTTGGGCTTTCAAACTTAAACCAACTTGCCAAACAGTATCCATGTACGTGTATAGTATGGTGTGCTAATCTACTTCAATATATGGCTAGTATACATCAAATATATTTGGGATTCCAAACCTAAAACCAACTTGCCAAACTGTGTTAAGTGTGCCAATTTACTTCAGACATAAAAAATCAGACATAAAAAAATGTAGTGCTCCATTTTTCTTACTAGGACAAATATATATATTTGGGCATTCAACATTGACTCATTATACTACGAAGTAAAAGGTAGTTTCGCTTTCAAACCCAAAACCAACTTGCCAAACAGTGTATATTTTTACAGGTGGTAATTAAAAAGTTAGTGAAGATGTTTGTCTGGACATAGTTGTTAAAACGATATTTAGTGTTATTATTGGCCTTTATGAAAAATGTACATTGTATTATTGTATTTGTAATTTGTAGTTGTTTGAGATATACATGGAGGTTAATGAACTATGAATAAGCATGCATGACCTGCGAACTTTAACACACTTAAGCAGTATCAATCTCCGATTAGTAGCCTATGACGTAGTAGCCAAATTTGACATCATTTTGAAAGACGTTGAATGGCCTCCATTTCATTAAATAAATTCAAAAGTGGGAAAGAATTTAGTATCCTGACGCCATCTCAGCGGTCATCTATGGAGAGTCAAGAACATGTATTAAGTGTTTCCTAGCAGAATTGAAAATGTTTCTCAGTTCCGTTATGTTTCTCAGTTCCGTTATGTTTGTCAGACCTATCGAGATGATACATGTACCTGTATATGAAGAAAAAAATGGAGTCAGATTGAAACATTCTGTCCATTAAGGACCATGAAGCATTATGTGTTATATGTTTCTGCATGAATTGCAAAAAGAAAGAGCATCATAGTTAAGTTCTCTTTTGGATTCGTATAAGTGTTTGAAATACACACCTTTATTACACGGTCGATGTGACTTTACAAATTACATTGTTATATAACAAGTACATGTACTTTGTATTAGCAGTATTGGAAAACAAACTGTTGGGCCTAATATTTTGCTTGTTATATTAGCGGAATGTATCGGGGGCTCTTCTTATCAGGGTTCAACTTTAGTTATTTTATAATAAAAACGTTAAATAAAATGAGAAATAAAATGGCTGATAAGTTAATTCAGTTTGTTGTATTTGTCTTTTTTCATTACTTTGTCACAGTGCACATAATGAGAGTTCAAACAGTAGATTTTTCGATCTTGCCAACGTCCTCTGAAGGTGGTATGAATGTTATTTCGTAACGTTTGCCTGTAACGTTACAAGAACGTCTCTTGCCAACGTCCTGTGAAGGTTGTACAAATGTTATTTCGTAACGTTTTTTTTGTAACGTCCTAAGAACGTCAAGAGAACTCTACATATTTACGTTCCCATAACGTTATTTTCAAACGTTCTGGGAACATTACCGTAACGTTATGAGAACGTTTTTGCAACGTTTTTTGGTTAGCTGGGAAGGCGGCAATGAAACAATATGCCGACAACAAAGATCAAGCTCGCCCCAAAGACATCAACATATGTGATACCGTTCTTGTACTACGCGATGGACTAGTCACGAAACACCAAACCCCATACCACAGACACCCCTACACAGTCACCGCTAAGAAGGGATCGATGGTGACAGCACAGCACGGCTCTCACACAGTCACACGCAACATTTCGAGATACAAACGAATCCAAACCAGAGCACCACCCCTGCAGGAAGAGTCCGACATCGACGACGACATGGTCACCACCACACATACCCCCATCCATGCTCCAGCACTACGCACGAATCCTCCACGAAACCACCGTCCACCTGAACACCTCAAGGACTTTGCCACTTAAAAGACTGTAGATAGACATCTGCATGTTTTGTACCAAAGCTGAGAACATGTATACTTACATTTTGTTTCTTGTTGGCTGTTTCGGCACTTTTGCCGAAACTAGCCTTTGTTTTTGTTAAGATTTTTTTTTTTTTTTTTTTTTTTGCTGTTTCGGCACTTTTGCCGAAACAGCCTTTGTTTTCGTTAAGATTTTTTTTTTTTTTTTTTTTGGCTGTTTCGGCACTTTTGCCGAAACAGCCTTTGTTTTCGTTAAGATTTTTTAGCTGTTTCGGTGTACACACCGAAACAGCTCTTGTTTCTGTTATTTTTTTTTTTCTCTTTTATTTTTCAGACTTTTTTCTCATAGGATAACACGTGTTTTTGTTCTACAAGTCACTTTTGGCTTTTTTTCAAATCCGATCGACTTCAAACCTGGCACACACTTAGACCACCATCTGAAGATGTGTGCTGAAACTTTTTGTAATGCTGACGTCATCACGTGATTTATTATAGAATTTTGAATATTTAATTTTTCCCATAGACTTTGTACACAGAAATTTAAAAAACAATGTCAATTTTCAGAGGGCATTTTCGACACTTTGCCAGTAATTCATTTACACCAATCTTTGTCCAAGCAATGACCCTAATTTAAACAACATTGTGTAATGATGACGTCATGATGACGTTATCCGGTGTTTATTTATAGGCAATTAAATTGTGACACTTTAAATATTTCAAAATGCATAAGAAATCAACCGTACGCGTCCGCAGCATTCTGTTGCCAGCAAGTGGTAGAGTAGGTTGAGGTCTTTATTTCATTCAGTGTGCGTGCAATCACGTGACCCTTGCTTCCGGTCGAAAAAGGCCAAAACCGGAAGTTGCTTATTATTTAAAAGTGGTAATAGATATGAACTTGCTTTTAACGGTGTTAGTCTCTTGGCTGATAGTATTCTTCAAATCATCTACCAATGACGTCATGCAATCTTCGAGCGCCCTCTAGCGACAGGTTGAAAATTTTCAAAAATGTATTTTGAATAGATGTCTGTGGCGAAGTTTGTCGGAATCGCCTAAATATTGGTGTATATGATGACCTTGACCCACTTAAGACGTGTGCGAAGTTTAAGGTGTATGACGTCATCAGACCGGAAGTTATAATTAAAAGACCCTTTTTCCATAGAAAATTCCTGAAAAATCAACCATGGCAGTTTTTATATTAGTTTTTACTTTAATTGTCTATTTAAGGGTAGGTCTAAAATATTTCAAAGCTTCGAGGCAATAAGCTAACTCGTACATGCCCTGCGCACGCTTAAAACTTCAGGTTGACAATAACTCTGCTTTAAAATATGCACAGGATCCAGGACGTCCACAATGTACATGTACATGCACGTACGTTGTACATATCGTATGTCAGTCAGCCCGCGCGCAGCGCACGTGTTGCTGAGGTCAAATCCTGTCCACAGTGACCGTTTTAGCCGATTTCCGGCTAACTATGACAGATTTTATGTTCATGCATAGTCAGGGCCGTATTATTGATAAAAACAAATCATAATGCGGAAGAGCCCTATCTTCTGTTGCAAACAGAATTTTTGCAAAATTTCGTAGGATAGACACTTTTTGTATAGAAAACGCATGTACATGTTCATTCGACCTGGATGAAACTCCTTTACGGTAGTCATTAATAAAACGGTCGAAACAGCTCAGTGTTTGTCCACAAACACATTTCTAGTTTTTTCTTCTTTTTTTTTTTTTTCTTTTTCAGTCATTTTGCCCATTGCATTTGTACACGTTTTTTTGTCACCGG